CGCCGATTACGCACATGTATCCAATTTAATAGAGATAAGAGAATAAGCAATCTGCGCTTTTAAATAAAATAAAAAATAAAAAATAAAACATAAAAAAAATAAAGAATAAAAAAATAAAAAATAAAAAAAAAATAAAAAAAAATAAATAAATAAAAAATAAATGTAAGTAACATATGGTGATGTTCTATGAGCAGAAATAAAAAAAAAAATGTTATATAAATATTGGTCCCAAAATGCTTTATTAGTTTATAACAAAAATACGAAATGTATAAGAAACAATTTCACTTAAGTTTGCATTTCAAAGTGCCTATTTCAATACAAGCTATACATCCATCTATGTAATATTGAATTTAATATTGAATCCTAGGAATTTGAATCCATCAAGTGTAATTGCAAATAAACATTGATAAAGATTGTTGATTTGACTGATGCACTCTTCTGTTAGAGAATCATTGACAAACGGAAGCTCTCGCATTCCCTGCACATAAACCATACACAAAATAAGTATCCGTGTATTCTTTGTCTGTAAAAACTTGCTGCATTTTGGGATAATGTTCTACAAGGTACTGCTCTCGTTACTGATATTTATACAAGTTTTTATGATCACCTTTAATCATTTTAATCATTTCAAAATCTCTTTCTCTCTCTTTTACTCATTATAAAATTTCTAAAAAACGCAAAAAGAGAAAAATATACCTTGTGCTGGAACAATGTCGGTCCCCAAAACGAGTGCCGCAGCCGTTGCTCCGGCCGCTCCAGCAGCGGCTACATGAGGTCCCTCATTCTTGTGTTCCTGATTGAACGACAATCTTCGTCGTTGAGGACAGTTATCTGAGGAACATGTGTGTTTTGTACCATTAGCTCTGGTGTGTTTGTGTCTCGATAAATTTCTTCTATGCAAATCGATGAAGAAGAGCGTAAAACTGCCGACCAGAACACACGTCGAGCTGAAGTAGTAGCCAGCTTTACCGCCGCAACCGACATTTATGTATCCTGCAAAATAGGTTCGCTATGTAATACTTGAGTCACGTTTCAAGATGCTCGTTAAAGGGTAGAGTTGAATATTATGTTTTCGAGTACTTCAAAGCTTTATTTTTCGAAAATTTCGTTGCAATTGAAATATTTCAACAATAGTGATCGAAGAAGACAAATATAAATTGCTTGTAGAACATAGTTGTTGGGAGACAAATATTGCTATGTTAGATTTATTTTATTACCCGATATTGGTACTCCGATTGCAATTGGTATCGCTTGGGAGCATTGGACGAAACCCCACGTTCTGGCAAAGTTCCGCGCTCTCACTCTTTCATACGTATACATCTTTAGGCTGTAATGATAGCCGCCACAGAAAATGCCTACAGGAAAATCAGTGTTCTTTTATTGCTCGTAACCTGGTCTCAAAGTCCCTTATTGCGGGAGATAGAGAAGAAAAAAGACGGATTACTCGTGCTACTAGGTCTCCATTATTTTTTTTTGTTATGGTAACTTAGAGATCGAAGCTCTCAATCGATGCTCAATCATCGATTTTTCCTAAACTTTGTTATCGCGGAAAAAAGACGACATTTGTAGTAAATTTTTCGGAATTACATCCATAATTCTACTTATTACAACACATATTATAATAATAATATCATACTTTAAAAACAATATGTACATAATGTTTAACGATTACCAACAGATTTTTTATCGAATACAATATTTTATCGAATATAATATTATAAGAATCTTCTCTATCTTCTCTATTAAACATAGAATTCATTAGGGTATGGAGTATACATTTCATTATTATTCAATAGAGCAATAACGAATGAGACTTTACCATAAATCCACGCGAACATAACATATCCGTGATAATTTCCTTGAACGGCGGTAAGAGCGAGAATGCAGAGTCCGCACACAAAAACGGCTGCTTGCGTAAGATACTGGCGGGCTATCCTGCATTCGACGCTGCGATGAACGACCAAAAGCCCGAAGGCTACGCAGCCAAGAGTCCAAGCTAGCCCGAGATAAGCTTGCAGCAGGACAACAGTATCACCGAGACCTTCCTCTTCGACTTGATGCGCCTGCATAAAAAAAAATTATTTACTCCATGCATTCCCAATGTATGTGCCGTGGATTTTAATATTTATCATTTCTTGTATCTAGGCTCGAAAAAACAAGTTAGCATACTGACTTGTGTACAGTATTATAGCAAATTATAAATTTCTGTTATTTTATATAACTATATTTAATATTACCGTATTGCTTTTAAACAGATAAAAGTAATTGTTACAAGAAAATAATATTTTATTTTTATATTATATTTATAGGAGATCTAGTTCGACGCAATTTTGATGGAATTCCGCACATATTTGTATTAATTTGAAGGTTTTAAAATATTCTTTGTATATCAATAGTATTTTGTTTCACGAGATTTGTTATTGAATAAAAAAGAAATATAGGTTGTAGATAGAGTGGTGCCACTACTTCCAAATTCATTAGTCATAGTTACCAGATAAAATATAGGTGTATTGATTCCGAACGCCGAAATACCGGTAGATACCAAGAGAATCTGCACTGTTTTACTTTTCAAAGTGCTAAAATCGAAAAACGCTGGTTTCTCGGCGGCTTTATTCTTGTCCTTTATCTTGCGCTTTTGATTCTTTAAGTGTAAGATTGCTCTTCGTTGAGGGTGATATAGTGAAGCGCTACGATAGAAAGTGCCGAGAATAAATGTGATAAAGACCACCCCCGTGACAGCTTGAAGACCGAGTCGCCATCCGATTTTACTGTAATATAAAAAACTCTTTATATGAACTTTGATTTATTTCATGGTGATATTACAATTAGTATATACATATTCTGCGACGATTAATCGCAATACTTCCAGATAAGAAGAAAGTTCGCGTGGATGCGTATTTGTGAAACAATAATAACATAACTGTATTTGTAAATTTTCTGTATTGTTCCATCGTTTTCAATTTCAAAGATTACTTAACTATTCTGAGTTTCTAATCAGAGATGAGTCAGTTATTGTTTTATTTAACATTTAACAATTTAGTCTTTTTTATTATAACAGTAACTAAGAATACCTTTGGAAATAATATTTTATTAATATGTACAGTTATGAAGTTTAATTAACGCAATGACGTTCGTGTTTTATTAAATTTCGTTCATTTATTGCATCGTTGAATTTATATTGAAATAAATTCTTGACGATATATATTACAATGTAATGTGTACGTACGTGATTGCCCCTTTTATAAAAGCAGACATGATTGCTATACCCAAGCCGCTTCCGGAGACAATAAAAATTTCGACCAATTCTCTTTTCCTCTTGAAATACTGAGCTACCATCAGCGTACTGCAGTCTCGCGTCATTCCAACCCCAATTCCTATGGGATAAAATATACTGGTGACTCAAATCGTCGTGGCGATCCTTAGTTTGCTCGTAAGATCGGATAACAATATCGTTTTTTGTCGACTATTCTGCGCTTTCGAAATTGATGTCTGTAGTTGGTGGTCTCGCAAAGTTCTGCGCGAGAGGGAAAATTAGGGTGGAAATGGATGGAACTAATACTAATGTTCGTAACAAATATAGACGAAGATTAGAGAGTAAGAAAGATGACGCGCAGCTAAAGTAATAATAATATTTGACAATGTGGCGCTGCACAAATTGCGACGTATATTCTTTCCTTGCAAATATCACGATATTGTTATTAGGTGTCACAGTTTATTATGTGATCTTACAATTAGTATTATTACTTATAATGTATCATGTACTGTTATCATTACCTCAATGTTCAAAATTACCTATAAATTAAAAAATTAACGACACAAATCAAGAAATTTAGAAAAGAAGAGATTTTATTGGATATTGTGTCGTTTATTAAAAAATCTCAATAACTTTGCAACGTCGTTTACACGTCTTATAAGAATATAATTACAAATTCTTATAATTACAAATTTACGCTTATAATTGCGCTGCTGCAAGTATTGGGTCATTCCATAAATAATGCGGTATAAAAAGGAGGTTGATATATTCTTTCGTTCAACACAAAACCGAAAGACTTTTATTGTCAGAGAATTGAAAATTTAAGATTAAGATGCGATGATGTTGTAAATAATGAAAAATATATTTTAGATTAAGATTAAAAAAAAAATGTCAAATTTTTTTGTTTTATTTAAAAAATATCTCTAAAAAACCGCATTACTTATTTACGGGGTGACTCAATAGTTCTCCGGAATTCCGTCAGCATTACAATCTTTACTTACCGACCACGGTGCCATAGCTGAAGAACAATTGATGAAATTGCGAGGCAAAAGAAGTGAAGAGGCAGCCGAGGGCGGTAACGAGGCCGCCCAAAACTGCCGTTACTCTCGTACTTTTTCTTCGGCAAAACGCTATCGTAACCGGCGACACGAGCAGAGCGACACCCGTCGACATTGCCCCCAGCCATCCTATAAAACAGGAAAATATCGTGTGGGCAATTGGGCATTCCGCAAATTTTGTTTAATCGTGCAACACGCGTAGATAACGCTTCCAAATAAAACAGCTCAAAGAGTATATAATTACGGGAAGATAGGGCAACTATATAATTATACATATATTCCGTGTTCAGTACTGTCTAATAACGCAACATTCCAGATTCTTATCGTCACGGAGATACGGATACCCTCAATGTATAATTTATTCATATAGAATGTGAATTAATTTCGTGGAAAAATGTCTGCGCGATACAGGAAATCTCTTCACGGAGTTGTTATTAACTTTTTACGGGAATGCCAGCGGCGTGTCGTTGATCGACGCTCCCGAAGGAGATATAACTCTCGCGTATCGCTCGCAATCTACCCCGTAATAAAAAAGTCAAATCACGCATGGCTATGCCAAAAAGGTTTCGATTTTCGTTATACGCGCGCGTCGTAGATAACAAGACGTTTCGACTGGCGCCCGTTTCTCATTTCGTCTGGCATGTTGTTCTATGCCACTTTTCTTCGTCGCTTACGGGGTAGGTACGACTATATCTATGTCATTTCGTTCTTTCGTTTGTCTGTCTATTTAAAGTCGATGCAAGCCGTCCGTTCTCGCGTGTTTATTTGACGAACGTTGGACGGCGTCTGGGCGAGAAAGAGATTGATTCGCGGCGATGCATTTTCCTCGCGGATTTCCGGGCGACAAGTCGGTAGTAAAACGAACTCGCTTTGCGGACTGTGTATTGCCCGCGCGCGGTAATAGAATCCGACGAATCTTTCCCGTAACAGATACTTTACGATCGGGGGATAAGTCACGATTGGCGATGTGATGACGGGGACTGTTTGTTCTCCGCATTGATTCGCGCTTATTGTTTTGGGTGTCATTTCATCATAAGTGCTTGAGACTAATGTGAAAATAGATATCTCTCGACATTTGATATTTAATTTAAAATCTTTCTTGATTCGAGCGCCAAATATTCAGATTTAACTTTTTCTCTCTCTATATATATTTTTTTTTCCTTTTCTTTTCTAATTCCATTTGCTTCTCATATACTATCTCTTTGGTCATCATGAGTGAGTGGGTCACAATTTTCGTTTAGTATGTTTCCAGCCTAGGCAAATGGATTAAATATCTTGCGGCTTCATATATTTCTTTATGCGAATTGCGGTATATCGTTATATTCCCTAAGTGAGCTATCGCCATACCCCAGATACTCGGCCAGTCGGAGCCAATAAGGTTTACGCGTTGTCATCTATCGTTTCTTAAATGATTTATGGTATAGTTATACGACATCCAAAGAATTGATCCCGAGAAACTCATCACGCGCTAACGAATACGTACGACGTTTTGTACTGGTTATACTTCTCCTTTTCCCCCTCATTCTCCCCTCATCCCACGACGTGTTTAGCGCGTCTATCGCAATCACGAAATCCTATCGATAAATCACTAGTTTGACTTTGGGATAAAGCCACGGACGCTTCTTGTATCTATTTGAGCTCCGAAGTAGCATCGAAGGTCCACACGCAAACAACAATAGTTTACGTAATTATCATAAGTTGTAGCCACAAATCTTTTTAAATAGGAGATATTTTAAACTGCGATTATATTCGCTCAAAATTTTTGCTTATAAATATTTTAGCTGCAAATATTACAATCTTTATCGAAGATATACGGCACATTTGCAGTTGGACGAGGATTAAATGATAAATATATGTTTTGGGGAATAAGAAAAGAAAAAAGAGAAATAACTTTGCTATATATATATATATATATATATATATATATATAATATATATATTAGGCGACCTTTTTCTCGACAGACAAATCAAGAGAAAATCCGTGTAAATATAATTGATGGTCTCAGCTAAAAAGCATCTCAAAATCGCAATCTCTTTCATATATTTACTATCGCTAGCTCGCGCAAGCGATCCTTCTCGCTAAGATGCTAATTAATACGGCCCCCGGTATAGGTATTAAACGAGCACTTGATCGCAGTTAAGACCGTTTTAATAGTGACATTGGGCTACTAAGCGGACGCTATTAGGTCGCCCTCGCGAAGAACCTAATCGCTTAATTAATTCTCACCGGTTCTCGATACGCGAACTCATCAATCATGGGGAATACGTATTATTACGGGAGTAAGTAACGGCCCCGACAGTTACGGAGACAAACGGGCGCCGCGCCGCGCGCGCGAGAGGAAAAGCAGTTATTAATCTCACTGTAGCTACGACGGGACGACGGATGCGCGTTAAATATCGCTCGCCAGCAGCGGTGACTTATACGCGTGGGAGTATCGTTTAAGACGTGCCTTTCCCAGGATCTTTCCTCTTCCTTCTTCTGAATGCCGATTCCTGCAACAATGTCTTGGATTTTTCTCCTGCGTGAGGAAGTAAATATATATCCGGATTCGCCTCGGGATATACACAGGCTGTTTCTGTTATTATCGTTTAGGACGTTGAGGGAGGAAGGACGTAAAAGTTTAGGAGAGAGATTTGTATGCAGAGGCTTACTTCGGAAATCTATCAAATTGAAATGCGTGCTCGATAACATGATGATAAAACCGTAAATCTATGATATCTCATATAGAATCTGAACATAAAAATGCGTGGCAATAGTACTTCTATGTCGGTTTATTGTTGGATGGCGACGTTGTCTTCCATTAACAATCTTAAAGATATTTTTACAGAAACTATTTTCAAATATTTTATATCAATATTTTCATATTAAAAAGAAAATATATTTTCCGTTTTAAATTCAAGAATAAACACTTTTAACGCATATCTTTTATCATATTTTGAATTGGCCAATAACAAAGTTACGGTATACATTGTATGGATGTGGGAAATATACTATACGGAGTAAAAGAATTTCTAGTTCGTAAAATCTGAGAGGAAATGTTTGCTGTATAATGCTCCACGCTTCGCCGCTTCTCTCGTTTCTTCTTCCGCTACTTTTCGCGACCAAGTTCAGAATACTTTATTGAGTATCGCGCGAGACCGACGGGTATTCTTTTCATCCCCGAGATAGTTTCTGTCGATGGGAGTGAGTGAAACGATAGCGAGAGTGAATTGACGAGAGCGAGAGCGACTACCGTCAGGGTCAACGACTTGCGGACTGGTCGGGATTTTAGTTGGCGACTGTGTCCTCGCGAAAGATGAGGAAGCTTGTAAGATTCATAAGAATTGCCGTTTTGCCGAGCTCTCGAAGGAGCGAGGGGGACGGTTGAAAGTGATACGAGTGTTTGTCTTTCGATTCTTTGCATAGTCGTATAATTAAAATGTTTTTGAATTTCTGTGTGGTTGGGTAGAATATAACGCAATTTAACACACATATATATATATATATATATATATATATATATATATAAAATACTAAAATATACTAAATCGATTATAGTTTCAATGTTCCTATGTTTTTTTTCATAAATGCTGCTTAATTAGAAATTGAGATGATGAAAATTGATGACATAACGTCAAATATGATAATGCAATTCGTATTAATAAGACAACAGATTTACACGTGTAAAATGTAGAGAATTTTCTCTACATTTTAGACATACCAAAATAATGAGCGAATATATCCTTTATAACGTTTATATTCTCCAAGATGAAATAAACCAATTAGGATACTTTTCGTTTATTTGTGCTTTTCGCTTTTTGTTTTTGCCAAAAAACATAATCCATTTCTTTTGCTTGCTCCCTCGGATTTCTTGTTTCTTTTTGTTGCCGAAATTACAGAACTTTTTCAGAACGTGATTTCGCATCGCAGAATTAATGAAACTCGTTAAGGCTCAAAGATAGCAACACGCAAAAAACATTAAAAATAAATCATAGCCAGCAGGTTCGCGTTTACGAGGACGATAATAATCCGTTCGTGACGCAATCCTTCGCGAGTAATAATACGACGCGAGCTCTTAAGGAGGCAACTTGAAAATGCTGCTGGCGTTGTGCTTAGAAGTATTGGAAACCACTTGAGAATACGACCATATGTTTCGTTTCTTTCCCGGCGATAAAACGTTGAAAGTGTATTTTTGACGTTTCATATCGAAGATAATACCATTTCAGTGTATGGTCTTTTAATACATTAATTTAACTTATCATTTTTATAAAACTTTTATCTTACGTCTCTTTAATATACGATTGGGAAACTTGAGTTTATAAACTATGTTTATGTACGAGTATGTATGTGTATGAGTAATAACTTACATAAAATACTTTTTGTTTTATATGTTCTACATGTTTTATATCGAATTCAATTACAATGCATTACAATGTTAAGAATCTGCTACAGGAAAAACGTATAATATTCAATAGTCCTATATAAAAATTAAAATCGTATATTTTTATAAATCTTTTGTATATTTGTATATTTATTTCTTATTCTATATTTTTTGAATTATTATTTTTATCACGCCTTTATATTATAATTATAAAGAAAAGTAATAATTAAAAAATATAGAAGCGTATATTTTATTTATAAAATAGATAAATCTCAAGTTTTATAAAAATATTGTCCATTTTGCATTCGTGAGGAGCAGATGTGTATTGCTTATTTAACAAGTTTCAAATATATTCCTTAATTTGTGCGCCGTACAATTAGTTTAAAATGATTACTTTCCTCTAATGAAGTTTGGACGAGAAATATTGTTAATATTTGCGCATTTGTTGCGTCACGTACCTACGTTAAGAAGAGTCTGATGATATCGCTTTGTCCCATCGAGCAGTAACCAAGCCCCGGCGGCCCCGTGTATTCCCGTGGCGAGAATTTGCACCATGACACCTGTCACGACGATGACCCAGCCCCAACCATTTTCGGGATAATAATGTTGTTTTATGGTGAAACGCGCGGCATACCTGGCATGTATGAGATTCGAGGATCATGTCCAAACGAAGTTGCATTGCGCGGTTAAACAACATTCACATTGGAAATGATTAGATTTTATTACCGTGAATAATTTCACAATTGCGATTTAAAAAAAGATAGTATT